CTGTATCCCCGGCCCTTGAATGCTTTTTTTGTTTTTGTCTTTTTTTTTTTTTTTTTGAGACAGGGTTTCGCTGTGCAGTTCAGGCTGGCCTTGAGCTCACTCTGTAGCCCAGGCTGGTCTCGAACTCACGATGATCCTCCTGCTTCAGCCTCCCGAGTGCCTGGATGACAGGCATGCACCACCATCCCCGGCGCTTGAATGCTTTTAGATTTAAGGCTTAAAATTAAATAATCTGTGGGTGGACATTTTAGAGAAAAAAAGGAACTACTGTAGTTTAAAATTTAAATTACATTTAGTCCATTGATGTGTTCAGATAGTGACAGTTTATCATAAATTGTATTAAACAAATTTTATTTTGTCATGAAGACAGATTGGCAGTAGATTTGTGACTAAAGCAAGGCTGAGAATGATATGTCTGTTTAATTAGAGATTAAACTAATATAGCCCTTGTAACACAAATGAAAGCTAAGTTACTCTGGTCTTTAACAGTGTTTTTCCTATGTGTTTAGTCTGTGTTGACCTTCAAGGAACAACCAGAATGGACAATCCTTTTTGGGGGAGGGGGCAGTACAGGGAATCAAACTCAGGATTTTGCACTTCACAAGCAGGCACTTGTGCCACTGAGCTATATCCCTGGTTCAAAAAATGGCAGTCTTAACATGTGTGTAATTTTTCTGTAAACATAGGTTTTGGATGAAGAAAACCTTGCTGCAAATGCAGAGAAAATGGGTACTATCTTGAGAAATGAACTCATGAAGCTGCCCTCTGATGTTGTAACTGCTGTTAGAGGAAAAGGATTGTTAAACGCTATTGTTATTAGAGAAACCAGAGGTATGTAGATAACACCTTTTACTTGAAGTTGAATGAAAGAGGAAGAGTACTTTCAATACTTTGGTTGTGGTAGGCGAGTGTCCCTCTGTTTGAAACTATTGACTGGCCGGTCAAGTGTTTTAGACAGAGTATTTATTACCTGATTTGTAATTGTATTAGTGATATTGAAAGATGTAGCTCTTTCCAACAGGATACCACATGCAACAGGGCTGGGGATATAGCTCAGCGGCACAAGTGCCTGCCTGGCAAGTGCAAGGTCCTGAGTTTGATTCCCGGTACCTAAAAAAGAAAAAAAAATTGCCTTACACATGTAACCAATTTAACCTGTTTTTGTTCCTCTGAGACATTTGCTTTTCTGCCCTTAATTAGTCATGCAGGGCTTGGAGGGTCTGACTTATTTTCTCTTTGTCTGGACAGAGCTGTCTTTGGGAGTTTCTTCTTTGCTGTCCTCTCCTCCCTCCCTCAGATCTTTCACACACCAAGGTTGTGCAGTAGTAATAATGGGAATAATGATGATGGTGCTGGTAGTAAAAATAATGCTAACTGTCACTTAGTGGGGGGTTTGATGTTTCAGTGCATCGTTTATCACCCTCAAGGGCTCCTTGCTGGATTTTTCTTGTGGTAACTCTTCCTTTTAAAGCAGCGATTCCAGCCTTGGCTGCACTTCAGAATCACTTTGGGAGCTTTCTGAAAAGGAATCAAAGCCTGGCCTCACCCCAGAGATTCTGATTTGATGGGTTGGGGTGGGGCACAGGCATCTGCTGGGCTCCTTTGGTGATTCCGATGTGAGGCAGGGGTTGCGAACCAGTGCGAGTTCCACAGGCCCAGGAAGCATATCCATTTTAGGAGTGTGCAGTTTCTCTACATTTGGGTTTTGGCTATTGCTTATTCTGTGTCAGTTTTCTGTGTCATACCCAAGTTCTTTTGCATTAGTTGCATTAGCATTAATTCCTTATGTAATTAACAGTTAAGCATCCCTAAACTGAAAAATTTGCAATTTTCCAAAATGTGAAACTTCCTGAGCACCAATACAACATCAGAAATGGAAAATTGAACACTTTGTGTGATAGGTCATAGTCAAAATGCAGTTGCACTAAAAATATTGTATGAAATAACCTTTAGGCTGTGTGTATAAAGTATATGAAACATAAACAAGTTTAGTGTTTATCTCCCCCCCAACTCATTATGTGTATGTACAGATTCCTATGTCCAAAACACTGCTGGTCCCAAACAATTTGGATACTTAAGGGATAGCCTATAACACAGCTGCCTTAGCAAATGTGTTTTTTGCTTGGTCTTTTATTTATAAAAAAGCAAAAAACATGACTAAGTCTAAATGTGCCATTCAAACCTAGTTACATTTATGCTTGCTGAAAAGTCAGGATTAACTTCATTTTAAAGAAGTAGAACAGGGCTGATGTAGCTTAGTGGGAGTGCTTTCCTAGCACGACAAAGGCCCTGTGTTCAATTCTTTAGCACTAGAAGAAGAAAAAAAAGCAAAATTAGCTTGTAGCTCAGAGCTTCCTTGCTTGAGCAGGTCCTGGGAATTCTCTTTTTTTTGGTCCATGCCCATGGCAAGGGGCTGTTTAAACATTAATCTTTGATGAACACGTAAGTATGCCCATTCTTTCTACAGATTACGATGCTTGGAAGGTGTGCCTGCGGCTTCGAGATAATGGGCTTCTGGCTAAGCCCACCCATGGCCATATTATCAGGTTGGCCCCTCCACTTGTGATCAAGGAGGATGAGATCCAGGAGGCTGTGGAAATCATTAACAAGACCATCCTGTCTTTCTGAGGGTAGGAACAGTTCATTGGGTCCTGGGAGCTGGCTGGACAGAGGTGTCCTATGAAAAGCTCTGCTCTGAAAGTGGGCACATTTAACCCCCATGTGCATGTATTTTTTTTCAATCGTTGAGTAATAGAGTGACATTTATGAACATGTAGTTGGCTGTGTAACATAACTAAGAATGGATGCAGGGCTGGGGATGCAGCTCAGCGGCACAAGTGCCTGCCTGGCAAGCACAAGGTCCCGAGTTCAATTCCCAGTACCAAAAGAAAGGACAGGCACAAACAGTAGCAAAGTTAAAAAAAGAAAAAGAATGGATGGGTCCTGTATTTGGTTAAATTTGTGACTGTGTATGTATTTTCTAAGGTGAAATGCTTCTGTCTGTATATAAATAGCCTTCAAATCAAGTCCTTTAGTATAATTGACATACTTTTTATAATTTCTTTGCTGGTATAAATGTTTTGTATTTGAAAAAGTTATCTGAGATATTATGTAAAAGACTTGCTTAACCTTATGTATTGAATGATTGTAACCACTGAGGAATCATTAATGGTTAAGCATATATAAAATAGTATTAAATAAACATTATATTGGCTAACACCAGACTGTATTCTACAGATGTCATTATTTTGAATTAAAAATGTGTTCCTAAATTGTTTTAAGTGCTTAATTATAATTTGTAAGGTAAAACATTTATTTTTAACATTTCTTTAAGTCTGAAATAAAGCTTATGTTTAAAATGTCCAATTTTGATCAGTATACTCTTACTGTAGTCTTACTTTGGTAGTCTTACCTAATATCTTTAAGCTCTTTAACTTACCTGTTAGTCTTACCTAACATCGTTAAGCTCTTTGAGAATGTTCTTACTTTGCTTTATTCCTTGTGCTTTCCAAGATCATAAGTTTAGCTGGGCCTGGTGGTTCATGCCTTTATTCCTAGCTCTTTGGGGGAGGTCAAGGGAAGAGGACTACAGTTTAGCAAGACACTGTCTCAAACTTCCGGGAATACAGCTCAGTGTGAAGGCCCTGAAGGGGTTCAATTCTCAGTACCCAAACCAGCCAATCACCCAGCCAGCCAGCCAACCACCCAAGCAACCAGTTTATGTCATTCTTCAGTGATTGTATTTCATGGTAAAGTAAAACCTTGGTTTGTGAGTAGCTTACTCTGAATGTTTTGTAAGATGAGCAAACATTTCTAATAGTCTTTAACTGGATAAACAAATGATGTCTTATGATGAGTAGTATTGGTGTCAAATGTCACGTGATCACAACTGAGTCAATGGTTCCTCTCACCCTCCCTCACTATGGGATTGTTTCCCACCAGCAAGAGGTTATGGAGCAGATCTCATCTGTACAAGAGGAGTAAAAGGTGGAAGAATCCCTCACTTCAAATGAGATTAGGGAGATGTGTAAAATGTGAGAAACAGGGCAAAATTTTGTAGAAAAGTATCATTCAAATAAGGCTATAGCAGTGTGAGCAATGAATCTGTTTAACCATAATGTAGTGTCACATTTCCACAAAATCCTCAAAAGGAGGAGGCACAAGCAAGTGTCATTGGATAGGTTCCTTGTTAAAGTTGCACAGAAAGAGAAAGATTTCATGAGCCAATAAATAAGTTAGTGAAAGTCGTTTTACACAATAACCCTCCTCTCTTGTCTCCCTCACACCAGCCACAAAGCTTTTCACAGCTAAGTGTGGGTTAACTTAATTTTCTTTTAGTTTGTATTTTATTATTTTGCACTATATATAGTATTGCATTTTATATGAATATTTTTGGGTTGTGGAATGAATCATGTGTTTCCATTATTTCTTAGGGGGAAATTTGCTTTGATGTATAGGTGCTTTGGAGTATGAGCATGTTTCTGGAATGAATTATGCTCACAAACCAAGGTTTTATTGTGTACGGGCATAATATAATTTTGTCTCACATTAGGGGACCACTTAGCTTGTTTCAGGTTTTTGGCTTTTTAAATAAAGCTTGTGTTCATATATTCCCACAATGGTATTTGTTTCCTTTTTTTTTTTTTTTTTCAAGATTTAACAACACTTACTATTTTTATTGCTTTACCTACAACATTCTTAACTACAATTGGATTTTTAAAAAGTTGCCCAGAGCCTCACCAGAAGCTAGGAATATAGGTGTGCACCACCACACCTGGCTTAAACGTGTTTGTGATCCAAGTATATGAAAGCGATGAATATAATCCCTACCAGCACAGTTTGTTGCCACTGCCTTGATTAATTTAAGGCCCTAGCAGTTCTGCCATGATTGCCTTCAGTGCAGATGTCAACATAATTGTTTCGGGAGAAGTCATGACATTCAAGAAAGCTAATGAATACTTGAATATTTCAGAACCATTCTATTTGTGATCAAGCATCGAATTTTTCTTTGATGATTATTTGGTGCCCAAACCAAGACCTGACACAGTCTTGCATCTAGACTGTATAAAGAACTGGCAACAAGCTAGGCATATTGGCGCATCCCTGTAATCTCAGTTCTCTGGGCTGCTGAGGTAGGAGGTTTGAGTCTCACCTGGGCAACTTAGCAAGACTTGTAATCAAAAACAAAAGCAAAAACAAAGAAATAAGGCTGGGCAAGTAGTTCATTATAAAGGCCTTCTGTGTAATCTTCAGTATCACAAACAAACTGTCAAAAATCTTCAGCAAAAATAGTCATAATCCAATTAGAAAGTGAACGAAAGACATTAAGATACATTTTAACCAAAAAAGACATTTGACAAATAATGAAAAGGTGTGCAACGTGATTAACCATGAATAAAATGCAAATTAAGAACCCAATGAAAATTAACCACATAGCCCCTGGAAAGGCTAAAATACAAATCAGTGGCATTGCCAAATGCTGGTGAGACTGCTGAGGAACTGGAACGGTCATTTGTTTTTGATGGGATTGTAAAATGATAAAGCCATTGTAGAAAGTGCATTTGCTAAGAAAGAAAAAAAAAGAACCATACACTTAATATATGACTAGGAATTGCATTGCCGAGATTTAATTCCAGGAAAATGAAGTCTTGTGTCCACACAAAAATATGTTTGCTACTGGTCATCACAGGATTATTCACAGTAGCCCAAGCAGGCAACAGTCACAACACCCATGACAGGGGAACAGCTAAAGAATAGCAAAACATTATGAGGAAGCTTCAGCAATAATAAGGAACTGTACTTTCAGGACTTAAAGTCCACCTTTGTCAAAACCACTGGCTTCATTTGGTCCTGAGCAAATATCTGATGGATGGCTTTTGGACATCAGGGGGAAACTCCACCATCAGATCATGCTGTGCCATCACTTTCTAGCCCTGTGTCCTTTGAAGAGCCATGAAGTTCGCTTCTGCATGCACAGGCCACAAATGACTCACCTTCAATCACTTTTCCCCTGCCTTAAACTGCCCTTCGTCTTTATCCCCTAAATATCTCTAAGTCCTACCTTTGGGGAGATGGATTTGAGACTTGGTCTCCCATCTCCACAGTCGATCTTGCAAATACATTATTGTTTGCAAAACTCCTCTTTCAATGGCTGTCATATTGTGTGGCAGGCAAAGTGGGCCTGGCTCAGCACTTTTTTCTTTTTATTAAACTTTTCTTTCCCATTTTTGTGAGTAAATCCCCCAAAGGGGCTTACTGTTCAAAGGAGTGAACTTTTAAATTCAGTAGTGCCAGGCTGTTCCCCGCTTCCTCCAGGTGCTAACAAGTTACCCTCTTAGCTGCGTGATAATCAGGCATTTGGTACACTGAGGAGTGTCCTCTCGCTTCATGAGGTGGTTTAAATGTGTGTGTGATTACAGGAAGGTCAGTTACAGATGGGCTGGTGCTCAGACCAGGTAATTGTAAAGGTCCCCAGGGGATTCCTGTGTGCAGCCAAGTGCAGTGTGAGGTCAAGGTTGACAACATTGGTCTTTGGAATCTTCTTGAAATGTGAATTCTGATTCTGTGTGGTGCATGTGCCCAGGTGGGATTTTGGGTCACAGAGGCCTCTTTACAGCACATAATCATTATTAGGAGTCAGTTTTATTTGTACCCAGGGGTTCTCACTCACCAGAGAAAGCCTAAAGGGCAAGTGAATTTAGCAAATGAAGCTCTCTACTAAATTCTTGGGAGGCCTTAATGGTCTGAGGAAGAGCTGGGCATTGGAAAGCAGACTGGTGCAGAGCAATTAGAACCTCAGTGCAAGAAGGGGCGATGAAGCTGCAGAGCCTTGCATCCCAGGCAGAAGAGAAGCAGGGAAGGGACAGAATCCTGATAGAAAACCTGCTCGGTGGGACATTAAGAACTCATCCCATGCACCCGCTGTGCCATGGTGTGGGGCAGGCAGTGGGGCCTGTGTGCAGGGGTGAGCAAGGTGGCAATGGCATGGCTACTTCCCTTTACTGAGACATGGGGATCAGCAGAGGGTGAGAGCTGGTAAAGAGACCCTGACTGAGGAGAGGCAGGGAAGGGCCATAGGCTTTAGAATTGGACTTGGCATGGACTATCAGAGCGATTGCTATATCTTAGCACCTTATTTTCCTCATCTGCGAGGAGGTGGGATCCTACCTACATTTCAGGGTTTCCAAGTCCCAAAAGAGATGGTGTAGGTGAACCTCTCGACAATGGTTGTAAATGAGTTGCTGTTTCCTCCCTTCAGCACAATTGGAAGAATCAGGGAGAGATACAGCCACACAAAGCTGACTTCCTCATAAAGGGGACTTGGGGTAGAACTGAGGGCTGGCTGTGCTGCGAAGGGGAGGAACGGTCCAAAGTAGAGAGAATCCAGAGCATGGGAGTTTAGACATGCAGGGCTGGGCATGTCCAAAGACAGGCTATAATGCACTTAAAGCAGTCACCACTATGACGATTCCCTGCCCCATGACTTCTTTGGCTTTTGACTTGCCAGAATACCACCTCTAAATTAATCACTGCACACACAAGGAAACCAGCATTGGGACAGGACATCTGGTGAAAATGGGAATGCTGGAAGTGTCAGCGCCAGGAATTTGAAGTTCCCAGACTCTTCTGCAGTATCACCCCACCTCATGGGGACATGGAGGAACACCTGTAAATTTTAGATGGGTGCTTGTCAATACTGGCTGCATATGGGTCACCTGGCTTGCTTGTTTAAAAGTTAATATCAATATTCACATCCCTCCTCAAATCTACAACAGAGTCCCCGGGGTGGGGACTAAATATTAAATGTCTAGATATTAAATGTCACCTAAAGGACTGTCATGTGCAGCCTTTGTCAGGGGGTGTCGAGTGTTAATGCAATGTGTCATCTACTTGTTACACCAGCCACTGAGCCTGCACTGAGAGCCTGCTAGGAATTAGATACATGGTTCCTGACCACATGGGGCTTTTCTATAGATATACTTACTGAAAAAAATGTTTAGTGAGTACCACCTGGCTGACCCCGAGGATAGGCAGTGGTTCAAAGAAACAGCATTTATTAAATGCCCTGTGCCAGGCCCTAGTCCAAATACCAGGCCCTACTCCAATTTAAGTCCTATCACAGGTACTGCTATCCTGTTTAGGGGTTGGGGAACTAAGGCTTAGGGAGCAAGCTTGTCTTTGATCATTGAAATGGTGAGTGGTGGGGCACCAGAGTCCTGGTCAGATGGGAGAAAACCTCTCAGGGAGGAAGGAGGTCCTCCAGGTACCTCAGGAGCTTGGGGTTTCGGGTGGTCTGGGGGCAACTCTTTTAGTCACAGGAGCCTGACTGTGATATGCCCCGGTATGTTCAGAAACATTTCAATTTATTTCTAACATGGAGGAGGGATTCTCAAAAACATCAGTGGGGAGCCACTGAAATGAATAATAAATTCACAAAAGCAGTTTAATCCCTTTAGGAAAACCGCTTGAAATACGTCTCAAGACTACTTCCACTATTCTGTGCATGTAAGGGCTCCAAGGACTTTCATTATCTCCCTAGCCTTTATTTTGATTAACTTGCAAATGAGATTTTTTTCCCCCTTTGCCTCAGTCCATTCCTTCAAATTGTTCATGCAATATCGGAACTAATACAATTTTTTATCATTTGCATCATGAGGGCAGAGCACATGATAACTAAAGATAAGACCTCGGGTGAGGGCAATGTAAGGACAAATTTAAGTTTCCCCTCCATCCCTGAAGGGGAAGGAAAGTTCCAAAAAAACCCACCAGATACTCATGTAAAAAGTAGTTTAGTTTGCTTATGAGTAAGGCAGTTAGCTAGAGAAGGGACCTGAGATAGAGCTGGGTGATCAGCTATATTAATAAGAGAGAGTGAACTAGGACCTTGGACCAAGAATGAGCTTCCTTGGGCAACACGAGGTGCAACTCATTTTTTCCTGATGGAAGTCACAGCCCATCCATACTAATCTCCTGAGTTTTGAGGAATTTAAAATGCAAAACTAACCATTTTTTTTCCCTCCAAAATCCAAGTGTCCTTTAAACCTTACCTCCTGAGTAACTAGGTTAGGGAGCCTGCCTTCTAGCTGATCATTTTAAATTCACAGAGCCATCTGTGATAAGTGGCTGCTGAACAGTGTAGCAACTCCTGTGCTCCATTTACCCATAAGCCGTTCTGGACCAAGGGATCATGTGGAATTTCCATTGCTGGACCAAGGGATCATGTGGAATTTCCATTGCTGGGGCTCCCTTCCCGGAGAAAGCTAGAACCTTTTTTCTTCTCCTCATTTCCAATAGAAGGTCTAGCTTCTTTTTGGTTTTTGACTTCATTTTTTGATTTTCATAACACCATGAGCTCAGTTTGCACAGAATTAGCTGTTTTACTAGAAACACTGCATTTCGTGAAAGAATGAAACTTTGTTATATTTTTATTACCATCTGCCTGCAGACACCATTCATTTAAAAAGTACTAAAGACCAGTAAAACTGCTTTATCTCCTATATAATATTTTAAAAAACCCTAGAGATTTAAAAGCCAGAGTGAAGAACTTCACTATAAATTTTTTGTTTTTGTTTTTTGAGACTGAGTTTTGCTATGTAGTTTAAGCTGGTCTTAAACTCACTATGTAGACCAAGCTGGCCTTAAACTCATGATAATCCTGCCTCAGCCTCCTGAGTGCTAGGATTACAGGTGTGTGCCCCCACACCCAGAACTTTACACTATAGTATGTAAAATTATTAAAAGTTTTATTATCAACAGCAAATTATTCACTTGATTTTGGAATGCTCATTAACTGCGAAGTGGAGTACTTATGTTGACTGTATAAAAGTCATAATCAGCATGAAGTAATAACACTAGCCAAACAGAGATACGAATACCCAAAATAATGTGTTTTGTATGTACAAATATCTATACTTGGGGCTTGGCTACCAAGTAACAAGATTTAACACATATATCAGAGGGATAATGGTCCCACTTATAAAAAATGTCTATATGGAGAAGGCTGGGGTTTATTGCAAAGCAAAATTATATAGCAAAATCCAAGGAAGGTAAGTAATTTTTAAAGATGAGAATTTAAATATAATGACCTAGGCCAAAGTCTCAGCTACTTTTTTGTGAATTCAGAATGATTTAGTGGTAGGATGCTTTTTCTTCTTTTTTTTTTTTTTGGGTTTTTCCCTTTTTTTGATTTGTTGTTCTGATATTTTTGTTTAGAAAAGTCTTCTTCAATGGAATTGGAATAAGAGCTTTTTCTCTTTACTTTTTTCTTCTCTTCTTCATTTATCTTTTGCCCTGTAATGTCAGCAGTTTATTAGTTCTTCATCCTCTTCACTGTTTTTACTGCTTGTATGGCTGATAGCCAAAAATGTGTCCCTTTTGGGGTCTACTCATAGAAAACCACAGCATTCAAAAGTCAGATGACAAGGTTAGTCACATTTTCTACAGCCCGCTCTAACACTGTCCTTGTTGCAACCTGGGACTACCATCACGCTGGTAAGAGAGATGGCTCGAGCCCTTAGCTTTCAAGAGCGCATTTGCTTTCTGACTGCAGAGACAACACCCAGTAGAAGTGGTTCCTGCTACTCATGCCGCCACACCTTCACGATCATAGGGGAAGGCCCAGTAAGCTTCTAGGAATAATAGAACCAAGTCTCTGTGTGGCTTAACTGAATTCTTTCATCAAGGCCCAAAGAACCGAGGACCAAGGAAGTCAGGGGCCTGGTCTTCACTGCATCAGGACACAGCTTCATGGTAACAAGGGCTACTCTTCTCCAGGAATCCTAGCATCATCGAAGGTGCACTGGCAGGGTGTTTAAACTAGAATGCACAACTAGAGAGGCCCAGAGAAGGGAAGAACACATATAAGTTGGGACAGGAACCCAGCCAGGTCTCTAGCATCTATGAAAGTGGGATGGTAGCTTCAGTTTAGCTCTTACCTCTGAGGAACTGGGTGACTTCAGGCAAATCCATGCCAGTCTGTAGTTTTGAAAAGCAGGAGTGTATTTAGACCAGTCCTTTTCCTTTGGGGTGGTGGTGCTAGGGATCAGAGACTGTCACCAGGTAGCATGTGTCTTTGCTTTTAGTAATTGTGCAAATTAACAAATTTATAGCGAAAAGTTTAAAAAGGAAGAGAAAATTGTAAAGGACTCTAGCTTGGAAGCTGACAGAGGCAGGCTTGCCTTAACAAAGGAGCATAAGAAAAGTAGAAAAGAGCTCTAGTTTGAGCAGCTGGAGGGGCAAAGTCTGATGAAAGGCTCAGAGTGCTCTATGTGCAAATGCTGGTGGGCTGGGGTCCAGCTGATCGTGATCTCAGGACTGGTTTCTGCAGCTATGCAGTCCTCATGGTTAGAGGGGCAGTTCCATTCCCATGAAGGGATTTTGGTGGTTTCTGTCATGTGAGCTTCTGCTTTCACTGGAATGCAGGTGATCACAATGGCTGGAGACTTCTGGGCACAGATAGCTGAATGTCTCTGTAAATCCCTTATCTTGGTTCCTGAGTCTTGAAGAGGGGATAAGATCATGTAAATTCAGGTCTAATCGAACCTGGCTGGACAGTTTCTGGACAGATACTCCCTAAATGATCAATGCACCCACATGCAGAGCTGTGAAGATTTGACCCGATTTAACAAAGCGTTCAAAACAAAGGTCAAACTTTGTTCTTTGAGTTAACTATTGGGCATCTGCAGGCCCAAAGGAAAGTCACTTTTTTTTTTTTTAAAACAAAAAAGTCCCAGACTGTACCAGAAGAAAACACAAATCATGCTTTTAATGAGTAGCAGTAGAGCCCAGTATTCTGCCGTCCTCTATCCCTATAGTGGTCTGTATGTCATGACTATCAAAACCCAGGGCCCCTAGCATGCCAAGGGCCTCACAACCAAGCACCCAGGCCAGTATTTCCTGGTCCTGGCTTTAGTGGTTTCTGAAGGTGGTGCTTGGTGAGCCTGAGTCCCCAACTAGGGGGCACTGGCTGGGATGAGCGCTTTCCACACCTTTAAACCCACAGAGAGTCAGTGTGAGACTCTGGGTCAAGGTTTTGTATACAGTAGAGACGACCAGAAAGTGCCACCACCTTCTGTGAGGTTTCTTTTCCCCATCTCCGGTTTTAAGATTCCTTTGTGACTTAATTTGCCTCAAAGCCAGTTTTCTGGGAAAAAAGGGTTCCCCTTCTGGAGAGAGGCTCTTAGGGTTCTGAGAAGAAGACAGGGGTGTGACGAGCTGCCTGCCTCCGAGACCCAGGGCCCACAGGGGACTTTGCCCACAGGGGACCCAACCACTAAATGGTCTATAGTTCTGCTAGAGCCGAGAGCTCACAAGGCAGGCGCACAATGACATATGGACTGAAGGGGGCGCTGCCGGCAAAGGATTGCTTTCTGCCAGAGCTGCGCGCCGCCGCAGTGCGCATGCGCCTCGTCGGGACCTAGGGGACAGCTCTGTGCGGGCTAAGTTCCGGTCGCTGTCTGTAGGCGGCACGCGCTTCTCCGCCACACAGAGCAATACACTCCCCCCGCCCCCAAAGTTGTTTTATTATTGGGATGATTAAATATATTCTTTATAGACAGTTTGGAAAAGACAGAAACAACCCTTTCCTGGCCGCTGCCTGCAGAGAGGGCGCGGTGTCCGTTTAGGTCGGTTCCCCTTTTTCGCTTAACACGTGTTCTGGGGCTTCGGCTTCTGGCGTATCCGGATGTAGCTTCGTCCCCTTCGGCTCCCGGTGGGCGCTAAGCCCTTCTAGGTTTTTGGTGCGGAGGAGCCGACCCCGAGCAGTGGAGAACTGCCCCGGCACCGAGCTCCCTGGCCTCCAGTGGTCGCCTGCACTTCCTCCATCCGGGGGCAGGGGGCGCTCTGACCCCGTGGGACGGGCCTCCGGGAATCCCCGGAGTTGTGTGGGGATCAGCACGTGGGAGCCATTGGCTGCGGGAGGAGGCACGCAGTCTGGAGGGAGGGGAATGAGGGTCCCCTGGCTTCGGTCTCTGCCAGCGCGCAAATGACTCACTAATGCTAGTGCTGTCCCTCTCACCCCAGCAGGTGGAAGTTTGTTTCTGAGTAACTAGGAGGGCAGTCACCAAGCAACCTCTGGAGTCTGTTTCCTTATTTAGAAAATGGTAGCGGCAGACTGCGGGGGTGACCCTGGGTCCTTGATCCTCCCCGTGGCTCCCTCTGCTCTTGGTCTACTGCAGACTCTCAAACTCATGCTCCGGGGTGACCCGAGGCCTGGCGCGCACGCCCTTGTACACACACACGTAGGTACTCCAACCCTGCTCACTCACGGCGTCATGGTGGCCCTGGGAATCCCAGTGGGAACAACTTTCTCAGGGTCTGGTTAGGAACTCTATTGCCCCCAGAACTGGATGGAGAGAGAGATACCAGGGCAGGGGCATCTGGGAGGGACCCACTCCAGGTCCTTCAGACCTGCAGGACTGTGCTGAGGATGAGGGATTTTACTAGTTGGGAGGGGCCCTTGGGCAGGACACAGAGTCCGTGTTCTAGCTGACAGAAGCTTTGCTCCCGGGAAGTGGGGCCAAGCAGGACACATGGTGCTCAGTCTGAGACTCAGCTAACCTGGCTGAAGCTTCACTTCTGTCCTGGGCTCCATGCCCAGGGCCTGTGTCTCTCCCCATGGTCTCAATCTGCTGAAGGAATGAATGGCGATGCTTATCCTTCTACTGAGGGGCAGTTCGCTGAGTCCCCACAGTACTCTGAAAAGTAGTAGTTAGAGCAGTCAGGCCGGGGAGGGCAGACACCTCTGGCCAGAGTCCCGAGGTGGGAGCGGAACTTGACACACACGGAGCTGGTGCCTGCCCGGCCTAGTGAACTCCCGGACCCCATGATGTGACTCAGTAAGCCCAGGTTCTTTTGCTGGTTGCTAAGTGTGGCTGAGGGATTGGGCTAGGCCAGCATGCCAGAGGATGGGGACTGCCAGGAGGTCTGCTCCTGCCCCTGGCTTTCCCATCACCCCCACTGACTCCTGGCGAATGGGGCTGCCCCACCCCCAGCTGAAGCTGTGCCTCCACCCCACCTGTTCTGGCGGGTCTCCCTGTCAGGAGAGAGTCTGCCAGTGTGCCCTTTGACCTGGCTGGTGTTCCGTCCGGGGTCCGGGGGGAGGACCTGCCTCCTGCCTGGAGGAAGGTCCGTCTCAGAGGGCATTGGGGAGAACAGCCCCTTCTTAGGCTACTCACCTTTGGGGTGGAGGCGGCTCTGGCTCATTAGGGAGCAGCTGGGTTTGTACCTGACCCATTTGCCAGAACCCAGCCTGCCCTCCTGGTGGGTCCTGGCTGGCTGTGTGTCTCAGCTCCAGAGCGTGTCTGTTTGGGTCCACACCCCCCTGTAAACAGCCAGCCCGAGGCCTGTCTTCGGAGGCCAGGCCAGGCCCCACCCAGGGTCAGCCACTTTTCCAGAGGCAAACACTTCCCCCAGGAGCCGCCACCCTCCAGGTTTGCCAGTACTTTGAAGGTAGGAGCCAGGAGGTGAAGTCAAAATTGTCTGGAGAGTAAACAGCTGAGGACCCAGTTTGGCCTGGCCAAGCTGCTGGCGGTGGCTACAAAGGGACACTGTGAGGGATACCCTTGGAGCAGAAGGGAGCCATTCAGTCCTCCCAGGAAGGGACTTGCTTGCTAACTAGGCAGGGAGGACCCGAGTGGCATATGGGCAACAGAAAGGGGCAAGTGGGTTGGGAGCAGCAAGTGACCCTGCTTGGGGAGAGCCTGCTGCCTCTGACCAGCAGAACAGGAAGTCACTCCAGCTCTGGAGGCCTCAGGGGGGCTCCTTCAACACAAGAGTGCCAGGCTTGTGTAGACCCCCTGATGGACAATAAAGCCCAGCATATACCAGTCCCTATTTGGTGGTTTGTGGGATTGGGTCTTCTCGTTGCCATCCTGCGGCACCCTGCTACCTGAGGTGGGGCTCCTCAGCCCCCTCTGGTGGCTGGGCTGTCCTTTGTCCTGTGCTATGTGAGTGCATCTGTGTCTTCCCTTTGCCCTGTGATGAGAAAGGGTGTGAAGCCATGCAAGGAGGTAGTATTGTTATTCCCATTGCACAGGTGAGGAAACTGAGGCTCTGTGAGGTCAACTGAGTTGTACAAGGCCACACCATGCTGGTCTTGGCCTTTGCCCGTGTTTCTGCCTCCTGGGGGTGGGTGGGGCTTGTGAAAAACTGCTTGTGATTTGACTCGGGTCTATGGCCCACATCACCTCTTGCTGCCCGTGGGACACCCTGGCTAAGTGCCAGAGGCCAGGGGGTGTCCCCTGAAGTGGTGAGGCACAGCATGAAGATGGGCCTGTGAGAGGCTCTGGGCCTCCAGGGAGAGACTGGCTCTGTGCAGAGCTGCCAGATCTGCACATGACACTGCTATCTCATGTGGCAGGGGTGGTAGCTGAGAGTTACGCCTAAGCCCTGCTCAGTATCACCTTGTCTGGAAGAGTCCTGCTGGCAACTGAAGGGCTCACGCAAGGACACTGGACCTTGCACCCACTCTGATGTCTGCCTGGCATGGAGGTGGGCCCTCAGTGGCTGTCTGTCTGGACTTGTTTGGTAAGTGGATCCCAAGGGCTGAAGCTGAGGGGGCCATTGGCCTCCACTGCTGGGGTTAGCAGTGGGCCTGCCCAAGGCAGAGAGAGGGTGATGAGGGCAGAAGGGACAGAGGAGGTCTGAGCATGCGAGGTCCTGGGTCACATTCCCACAGGCATTTAGGGTCTTGAGTGCTGGTGTCCTCTAGTGACCAAGGCTTGGGCCTGGGGCTTGCCCCTGAGGTTGCTGAGGACAGTTGTTCTCTGCACAGCAGCAAACCCCCTGTGGTAGGAGCAGCCCCCTCTCTGCTGTGTGGCTGATTGGGCTCAGGCAGGGAGGTTTGGGGATGTGCCTCCTGTAGGCTCCTTATGCTCCCAGACAGAGGCCCAAATAGTGAGATCCCATGGGAATTATCCTGATAGCAGAGGGAAGGGAGACCTGAGATTCCTGCTCTTCCTCTCTCAAGGACTCAGAAGAGGTCACTTGTACAAAAGAGAAAAGGTTTGCTTTGTTAGCAGATTGTTCTCTAAGTAATTCACAGGTTGAATTAAAAAAAAAAAAGTGGATTGTGTTTCATGGACCATCCCTGGGGACCCAGCCCGTGGAGGCCTGGTTAGGTTTTTCATTTCTGCTGGAGCAGGAGAGGCCTGGGCTGGGGAACATCTGGCTGGGGGCTTGTGAGGTCAGACAGAACCAAGGGGGCTACCAGTCTCCAGGGACTCTGACACCTGCATCAGCTCCCAGTCTCTGCTCTAGTTTTGAATGACTGATCATTGGGTGATGAAGAGAAAGGTTCTGGAAATGAATGTGACTTCTTCCTGCAAAATCTCACCGCTGAAGGTAAGAGCCTCAGAATGTCAGAACTGGGTTATCAGCAGCTGGGATTAGCTCAGAGACATGTGGCATGTTCTGTGAAGTTGCTGAACTTGAACCCAAGCCTTCACACTCCTGACCCAGTGCTCTTCCTGCAGGTGGGAATCCCTGTGGAGGGGCCACTTTATCTCTGCTTTCCTCAGGTCCAGACCTGCTGTGCTGCAGGATGTATTCCACACATCACAGGCAAAGTACTGGTTTCCACTACTGCGTAATGAAAGCGCCACAGATTAGGCAGATAAACAATGCAGTTTATTATCGTGTGATTTACATGGGTCAGGGGTCTGGGAACAGCTGTGCTGCTTCTCCGTTCTGGGTGTCACCCGCTGCAGTCAGGGCATCAGCTGGGCTATTTCCTAGACCTCAGGGCCCTCTTCCACATTTGTGGGGTTGTGGGTAGAATTCATCTCTTTGTGACTGTGGCACTGAGGTCCCTGCCTTTTGGCTGGCTGTTGGCTGGGGCCGCTTTCTGCATCTGGCTCCTGCAGGGGCTTCCCCATCGCTCTTGGGTGTCTTACTTCCTCAAGGCCAGCTAGCCGCTCTCTTCCGGTCTTATAAGATGGAATCTTATACCGTGTAACATGGCCAAGTGCATTGAGTGAGTGACTGGCCTGTGTTTTATCATATCTACTGGCTGGGAGCAAGCTGCAGGTCCTGCCTATATCAGGGGTAGGGCACTGTACTAGGTGTGCGGGATTACCCTGGTATGTCCACTAATAACAGAGGTTTACATGAAGAAAATGGGAGAGAGAGAGAGAGAGAGAGAGAGAGAGAGAGAGAGAGAAGGAGAGGGAGAGGGAGGAGGAGAAGAAGAGGAGGAAGGAAAAGGAGAGAGAGAGAGAGAGAGAGAGGCAAAAAAGTAGCAAACTTTTGAAGTGACTAGACCTACCGCACCTCCACTTCTGCCTTGTGTTTAAAACAAACTCTGGGCTTGGGTCTGCATTCTTTGGTTCCTGTGGGTGCTGATATGGTTGACTTTGCTGAGATATGAAGCTGGACTTGACTTTGTTGGTGCAGGAAACTAAAGATAATGGACAGGGTGATTTCTTTTTGATCGGCCCCTGCTTTTGGAAGACCAGGTAAGGCCTGTGAGTCAAGCCACTTGGCACAGGAGGGGGATAATGGCTTCTTTCTACTTCCAGGACCACCCGAAAGACAAGACCGCTCAGTGCCTGTTAGGTGTACAGTGGGAGGGATTGTGGGCATAGGGGAGGGAGGAGGCTCTTGGAGCTTGGAGGGAAAGGTGTTGGGGTTGGGTTTCTCTGATTCTGCCCCACAGGTTGGAGAATGGCTGCATGGATGCCAGTGGGCCAGTGCGACTTGATCTTGCTGATCAAGAATTAGAGTCACAGTGACGGAGGGGCCTACAGCAGTTCAATGATAGAATCCCCCTGCCACAGGCACTGTATTCATTACAACCAAGCCTTTGCAGGCAGAGAGGTCCCCGTATTACTGGGTATCAAATCCACCTTGTGAGTAGGTATCTAGTCCATGGCCACTGATGTGGCATCACAGAGGATGAGAGATTACTCGGAGTCAATGTCCAGTTTAAACTCCAAGAAGGCTCAGAGGGGCTGCCTTAATTGAGGCCTCTCAGCATGAGAGAGTCTCAGGAAAAAACACCCCAGACTGAAGCTTCTGTAGCTTTTTATTGGTAGGATCAGGAAGCAAGGATAAAAGACAAAAGAAGGACGTCTGTACAGGAATTAATGTAGAGGACAGGGGAGGGACAGGGGAAGGACAGGGTGGTCTGCTACATGAATGACCTCAGGGCCAATCTGAGTAATAAATTGGAGTATGGGGATGACAAGAGCCAGAACATATTCCTTGAGGCTGTGTGTTTTGGTTCTACATGGACTTGTGGCCCTGTGGGTGATCTTTGACTCTTTCACTGTGCATTCTCCGTACATATCTCTGGCCAATTTCCCCTAAAGTAGAATGTTGAAAAAAAAACCCTAAGAAAATAGATTGGTGTGAGCAAAGCTTTATTGTCAAGCAGGGTCTGATGTAGGCCAGAGACCAGGTTTTGTGGATGAGGTTTAGGGGAGGAAAAATAAGGTTGGCCTTCCAAAGACCTTGAGCTATACCTGTACCTCATCAGATTTCAAGCACTCAGAGTGATGGCTGGGAACACTCTGGGCTGGATAGAAGGGCTCGGTGTGTGTGTGAGGGTCCTACCTGGGATCGTGGTATCTGGATAAGTAGCTGCTCATGGAATATTCCAAGGTGGAATGTAGTTCTCAGTCTGGTCTGCCTTGGGATTGGCAGGCTAGGTGACCAGGTCAAGTTTATCAGGGGTCTCAGCTAGATTTAATTTTATTTAGAAAAATTATCAAATGAGATGTTCTTCAAATCTGAATGTCATACAGTGAAGTCAGGCTCTTTTCCCCCCCCCCCCCCCCGGTACCGGGAATCGAACTCACGACCTTGTGCTTGCCAGGCAGGCGCTGTGCCGCTAAGCTAAATCCCCAGCCCCCAGGCTCTTGTTATACAAATACAAATAATATTCATGACCAGTTGCCTCTTTCCAGGTCTTAGAGTAGATTCCCAGGCTTGGGGGTGGACTTGTATAGTCAGTGAGATATGAAGGGTTTTATTATGTCTGTTTTATGAAGGAAGCTGAAGTTCTGACCAGTAATGTAACCAGCAGCCACTGCACTTGATGTCAATGGCAGAGCCGGAGCAGTGTCCCTACCATTCTGCCACCTGATGGGTTCAGTGGCCCTTGGTCTTTGGAGTACCCTAGGGACATATTGGCACAGAGATGCCATCCACATGTCCCTCTGCAGTGGACCACTGTGAACAGACTTCCCAGGCATTTCTGATACATAGCCAGGGCTGCAGACCCTCAGGGTGAAGTTTTGCTGATTAAACCAAGAAGGTTTGGTCACTAAGTAGATGAAGAGGGATATCATTCACTACCTTGAATAATTCAAGATTTTATTGAGGGGCATTCTCTTGGGACCGAATCAAACCATGCTGTCATGATTTAGATCTAAAAAGGCTCCTGAGCTGGGCATGGTGGCACACATCTGTAATCCCAGCACTTGGGAGGCTGAGGCAGGAGGACTGCTATGAGCTTGAGCCCAGCCTGGCTACAAAGTGAATTAAAGTCCAGCCTGAACTGCATAGCAAAACCCGTCTCAAAAAAAAGGCTCCCGAGAGCCTCATGTGTTTGGAAGGTGATTGGGTTACGCAGCTGGTACTGCTGACCTGCTGTTAGAAGATGGGAGCTAGTGGGAAGAAGGGGCTCTCTGGGTCATGTTCTGGCAGGGTCTCTGTCTCTCTTTCTGGCGTCTTTCTTCATCCTCTGCTCTCTGGCTGCCATGACACGAACAGCTTTCTTCTTCAATGTCCTTTTGCTGTGTTGTTTTGCTCTGGAGCTGATAGGCTATGAGCTGAAACCTCCATCAACTGTAAGCTACGATAAACATCTCCTCCTTTAAGTTGTGGGTATTGGGTATCATGTCTCAGCAATGAGGAAGTGACTAAGACATATGTACTTGTGTTTGATGGCTGAAATTCAGTCTTCATGGAGGGCCTACTGTGTGAAAGGCTAGGGGTCCTGGGCTGAATATTTTGGAGAATCCCTGAGGCCAAGAGCCTTGCTTTAGCTTTACATATTCCTTTGCTCTGTGGTGTGGTTTGGGTGTGGTTCATCCCCAAAGACTCTTGTGCTGGAAGCTTGGTTCCCAGTGTGAGGGTGTTTAGGTGGTGGAAACTTTAAGAGGTGGGTCCTAGTGGGAGCTGGTTAGGTCACAGGGGCAGTGCTTTATATAGTTCTTGTGGCCTGGCCACTGACTCTCTCTGGCTTTCTTGCCTCATGTGATCTCTTCTGCATGTGTTCCCACCATTGAGATGCCATCCACCATGAGGTTTTTATGAGAGGCCACACAGATGGGGCCACCTGATACTGGATTTTAGCCTTCAAAACTGAAAAAGCTAAACTTTGCTTTATCAAGTCATAGCTTCAGGTATTTTGTTACAGCCACAGAAAGCAAACAGATAGTCCCTGCTGAGAGGTGCACATCTGTGCATTAGCAGGGTAGAAATGATGAAGTCTTCTGGTTGCTTTGATCTCTAGGTGGAGTTTGCTTTCTTTTGGGTGTTGGAGATTGAACCTCATTCCTTGCACATTTGCAAATGCTAGG